TCCCGGGGGACATGTGCCCCTGCTTACCCCCTCCCCGCCCCCTGCTCGGGGGGTGCCTTCTCTTTGAAACGCTACTCCATCCCCACGGCCCTGCTCGGGTCCGTTGCTGCCCGTATTTGCCTTCTACCGGCGTGGCGGGGCGTGGCGGACGCCCCGGGGCCGGTGCCGTGGCCCCTGCAGGGGCTTCCGAGCGAGCTTTCCCCGCTGGCGGGCCGCTGCCTGGCCCGGCCCCTGGACCCACCCTGTCTGGCCAATCTCCCGCTCCTCCCGGAGAACCTTTCATTTGAGAAGGCCGGGGTGAGGCAGGGTGGCCCCCATCCAGCCCCCCCTGCCCTGCCGCCGGGGCCCGGAGGCCCTTATTCGTTCCGGTCCCGATTACCCTGCAAAATGAGGCGCGGCCGCCCGGCCCCTGCCGGTGTCCCCGGGGACAGATCCGCCACTGCCAACCGGTCCGGTACGGTGTGCTGTGCGGTGCGGAGCGGGTCGGGGACCACTTTGTCGCTCTGGTCGGGGCTCTGGGCTGGGGCTGCTGGCCGGGGCCTGGCCGGGGCCTCGAACCGCCCCACCGGATAGGATGGGGCACTTTTGTCCCGCACGCCCGCTCTCGCCCAACGAGCTGGGGCCGACGCGACGCCCCACCATACCACGCCACCCGGCGCCGCTCCTCGCTCCCAATCTCTGCTTATCACCCAACCGCGCCCACCCCGCCCCGCCACACCCCGCCACACCCCACCACACCCGCCCCGCGCCACACCCCCGCCGCGCCGCGCTGTCAGACGGAATGCGAGATGAGGCCGTGTGTGTCTGTCTCTGTGTGCCCGGCCCGCCCGGCCCGCCCGGCCCGGTGCGGCTTGTGTGCTCCCGTGCCGAGAGGAGAGGATACATCCTCCGATTGAATCTCGCATCCAGGACGGAACCTGCCCCGCCCGCCCGCCTGCCTGCTTGATCGGAGCCGCACACCGGAGTCCACAACGCGCCGCACCGAGAGTGCATCGAATACATTACGGCTGATGTATGTGCAGTGCACGGTATTGGCATGGCCTGTGGGGGAGTGTCACTGATATACCCAAGCGCTGCAGACGGGCTGGCAGACAGACGGACGGGTAGACAGACACGCACCTCGCCTTACTGCTTCGGCCGGGGAAAAGTTTGTCGGATTGCGTTCGCCTCGCGTGCCGCGCAGAGTGAGCCGGTTGGGTTGGGGTGGGGCCGGGGCCGCGTGGGGCGGATCGGGCTGCCCCTGCGCTAACCGTTTCCATTTCCCCGCTGCAGGTGGGCGCGTTTCCTTCCCTTTGGCACGCCAACACCCCCGACTGCGGCGCGCTGCGCCGGGCTGCGTCAGAGAGTCAGAGAGCGAGCCGAGCCGCCGCCACCGCTTTGGTTTACTTTAGTCTTGAGGCCACCGCAGTGCAGCACCCCGCCGTACCCGCCGCATCCTCTCTAGGCCAGAGCGGAAGCGGGGACCTTGGTGTGGGCGAAATTCTTCCAAAGAAATCCCCTGCAATTTCTTCGCTAATTATTGCGAAAGGAGTCAGATGCCTTTGTTGACTATCAAGCACACCTTTGCAATTGTAAAGCACATCTTTGCAATTGTCACGGAAATTCTTTGTAATTTTCAAAGAATGAGCAAGACTCGGAGGGAACAATCGAGGACTTCGCTCTCTCTATCGGGACGACATGCACTATAAAAAGCGCAGATGGATAGAAATTCATGTTACGTAGTTTTAAAAAATACTCTTAGTTGAGTGTATGTATCCCATCCTGAACAAGTAGATTGTGAGGAGTATGTTTTAACAACGGGACAAATTTTTACAAAATGTGATTGGGTTGTTCACTATTGTTACAATGTTAATGTTACACTCGCTTACGCCGCCTGCTGCCCTTTCGGGACTCCTTTAATCAAGGAAGGAAGGCAGAGAGAGAGAGAGAGAGAGAGAGAGAGAGAGAGAGAGAGAAAGAGGGGGGGGGGGTCCTCCCGGCGGACTGGTATGCGCGGAGTCCCGATGATATCCCAGCGGTTCCCAAGTTTGAATGTGCGAGAGTGTACCGCCGGTATCGCGCGCTGTTTCGCCGGCGACGCGGAATCCCCTGGCCTGGCGCGGAGGAGGAGGACTAATCTGCGCCCAATCTGTCGGGCCGCGTCCGAGTCGAGAGTAGTGCTGCCGGGCGGCACAAGGTGTTGCCGGGACAGGTCGTCGCCTCCTCGGAGGCAGCCCCAGCCCGGTCATTAAGTGCTTCGACGAGTTTCTTATCGCTGGCAAAGTTGGCCGCGCCGCCCGCCGCCCCGTGCTTCTCTGACTCGCGACGCGCCGAGCTGCCGCCCGAACAAGGTGTTGGCGTCCGCCGTCCTTTTCGGTTACAGTTTGTAAAGTCGGTCGGGCTGGAGCGCTCCGTGCGCTGCTCGGCAGCCGGAATCTTTGAGTTGCCCAAAGTGATTGTTAGCCCACGGCGGCGGCGGTGCGGGCGGAGTGGGCTGGATGGAAAGAAAGTATATAGGGAACAGCGAACAACGGTAAAAAACGCACGCCGGGCGGAATATCGACTATGATTGCGACGTTTATTGCGGAACTTGTTACCCTCGTCACGCGCCCTCTCTTCAGAGAGCAGGCGGGCGCGGTGACGGGACCGACGGGACGGGACCTCCGAGCTCCGCGGGGTTCTTAAATTCAGTGACCGTGTTCGGTGTTCGCCGCGCTTGTCTCGCGAAGGCCGGGCCCGGCCGGGATTTTGCTCAGTGGAGCGGAATAAGGTATATGGCGACCTACAGAGGGGGGAAATAAGGGCGAGAGGCTCGAACGAGGACGAATATTGAGGGGGAAACGGGGGGGTCTTACGCGCCCCCAGCGGCCCCCGCGCGCGGGGCCCGCTCTTGTTCTCAGCCCGGACGACGGGGGAGGAGGGGGCCGGGGCGCTGCGAAGGGGGGCGTCGACGGG